GTAGAACTGTGCTCCACAGGATTTTCAATGGCTGAGTTTTTTTGGAAGTAGATCACCAGGCCTTTCTTCCAAGGTGTCTCTGGGTGGACTTGAACCTCCAACATTTCTGTTAGCAGCTGAGCACGTTAGCATCACCTAGGGACTCTATACTATGGGCTGTTATTGATATTAGCTGCCTTCGAGTTGGCCCCCAACTAATGACGACCCCATGGAAAACAGAACAAAACACTGCCCAGTCCTCTGCCATCCCCATGACTGGTTGTGGATCAGACTGTCGTGATTCATAGAGTTTTCACTGGCTTTTCAGAAGTCCCTTTGAGGTAATGTACTAAGCCCCATATTCAGATGGGGAAGCTGAGGCTCAGAGACGTTAACTGACTTGCCCAAGGTCCCACAGCTAATCACTGGCATAGCTGGGAGATAAACCCCGGTCTGCCTAATACCAAAGCCCAAATTCTTAAAGGTGGGCCATGAAGATCCAGGAGTGGGAAGAGACCAGGAAAGATGCCGGAAGGGAGCCGCTGTGGGAACCATCCCCCAGAAGGCTGTGGTGCAGGACCATCTCCTCAGTGTCACCCTAACTAGCCCTGCCACCAAGAGGCCCCCTGCCTCTCCCTTCACTCCCGCCAGCTTCCAGCCTCTCATTCTGGCAGCTGATCAGAGACCTCATTTCCGATTGCCAGGGCCAAATGGTTAATGGTAATTAATTCAATTTGCTCTGTACAGGAACTGAAGCCTTGGCTTGTATTAACAATCTGAAGTTAACATGTAATTTATGCTAATTCGAGCCAAAGACTTGTCTTCTCTAAATTCAGAATCGGTTCTATTAATACAACCACCTCACTCGAGGTAATGAGGAGCCTGGCAGATGGTCTGCTGCATGGGTTAGGGGAAAGATTACTACAAAAAGAGCAAAATGATGACAGCACAGAGGATGGTAACTTTTCAATGGCCTCCCCAGGGAAAAGCGGGTTTAGAGAGCTGGGAGGCGCTGCAGCCACCCCTTGACCAGCAGAGAGCAAGCATCTCAGCCTGAAGACTGCTGAAAGATGCGTTGGGGTGAGAGGACACGTTTACTGAGTGTTTACCAAGAGCCAGGAGTTCCTGGGTGGTGCAAATGGTTAACGGGCTCGGCTGTTAACCAAAAGGTTGGAGGTTTGAGTTCACCCAAAAGTGCCTTGGAAGAAAGGCAATCTACGTCCAAAAACTCAGCCATTGAAAATCCTATGGAGCACAGTTCTGACACCCATGGGGTCACCATATGTCAGAGTTGACTTGATGGCAACTAGCTTTTACCAAGACCTGGGGCTGCGAAGCTGCCTGACCTCTGTGCTTTCTGGCCTTCACCACTACCCAGAGACATTAACCTCTTGTTATAAATGGGGAAATTGGTATCCAGAGAGGCTGTGTCTTAGCCCAACCAAGGTACACAGCTACGCAGAGGCAGAGCCAGGATTCAAACCCAGGTCTCAGCGGACTCCAAAGTCTGTGCTCATCCTCTTACCCCACTGAAATAGTCTGGATTATTGTCTGGCCCTCCACTGTAGGCAGAGTACACTGTTCTGCCCCACTGACCAAGGACATGGTCATTGGCTTGCTTTGGCCAATGGAACATGTGGAAAATTAAAAATGGCTACAGATTCTTTGTCATTCCTCTCATCCAGAGGAGAAATATATTCTGCCTCCACCTCCCTCGAATCTGGTCAAGTTTGTGACTTGTTTGGTCCAACAGAATGTGGCAGAAGTGACGCTGTGAGACTTTTGGAGCTGAGGCCTTAAGAGGCCTTGCAGCTTTTGTGCTTGCCCTCTAGAGACGTTGCCCTAAGACCCTCACGTAGGGAGCTCAGTCAAACCTACATGAGGATGAGTGACCACCTGGAGAAAGACTGAGGCTTGTTGGCCAACCGCCAGTATTGACTGCCAGACACGTAAATGAGGTCAACTTGGACCTTCTGGCCATCCCAGCTGCCCTCTGACCACAACTGCACGAAGGGGCAGGCAAGAACACAACTGGCTACCCAACCCACAGAACTGTGAGCAATAATCAGTTATTGCTCTTTTCAGTCACTATGTTTGGAGACAACTACCCATCTGTCAGTTTGTTGTACTGGGGTTGCTTGCACGTTGCTATGCCACAGGTATTACAAATACCAGCAGAGTCACCCATGGGGAACAGGTTTCAGTGTAGCTTCCAGACTAAGATAGACTAAGAAGAAGGGCCTGGTGATCTACTTCCAAAAAACAGCCAGTGAAAACCCTATGGATCACAGCAGAACACTGTCTGATATAGTGCTGAAGGATGAGCTTTCCAGGGAAGGCACGAGGCTGGAAGGCATTCAAAATGCACAGTGGCTATAACAATGGACTTGAATATACTAATATTGTGAAGATGATGCAGGACCAGGCAATGTTTTGTTCTGTTGTGCATGAGGTCACCATGATCTGGGGCAGACTTACTGGCAGCTGACAACAACATGCTTGGAGAGTTCCACCCCCACACCCAGCAATAAATAACTAATACAGAATGTTAGTTAATGTGCTAAGAGCAGCGATCTTAAATGTACGTGTGCGGTCTGGCTTGGCTCTGGCATGCTAGTGATCTACCACAAGAAGAGCACGGCTCTGGGTAGCTGCTGCCTCTTCAACCTGGGTCCTGGCACACACACACGCGGAGCTGACCCAAGCCCAGCCTGCGGCCAGGAGCAAGACTACCCAACTTGCACTCAGAAACAGACCTCATCCTGGATCAGCTGAACCACAGCCAACCTGTAGACCCTGACCATGAAAATATCTGTTGTAACCCATGGAGTTTTGGGCTGGTTTGTTAGGCAGCATCACTGCATCAATAGCTGACTGATATAACCATCCTGTCTCTCTATAACCCACACATCTATGCAACAAAGACTCTGTTCTACTGTGTGGGAAATACTGTCCCCCCATTTTTCCCCTGAGAGATTCTGGAGTATAATTATATTTGTACAAAGTTGTACGAACACAGAACATGGCATTGTGTAGAAGTCAATGCTGTTGCTCCAGTTCAATAAAGCCATTTACTGGGGAAATGCTGGTGATGGGGAGAAACTGTGGTTGTCCAGGAAGTTCCTCCCAGCAGGCCATAACGTCCCAGGTGGATTATCTGTAACAGGTAGAGTAGGAAAGGCAGGTAGGGGGTGTCTTTTTGATTTTCTCTATCTCTGGTGATGTCTGGTAGGGGGAAGAAAGTATATAGATAGAAAGGGAAGGTACAATGTTCTCCAGGGTAGACATGGGCCCCAGATTCACTCTTGCTTCCATAGTGGTTTTTGTCTGACCTCTGACCCCAGTCTGGATTTTCCTGGTGGACACAATCCAGAGCTGGCTGCCCAGGCCCTTGTGCTTGGCGGCTCCATGTAACCCAAAGCTACTAGAAGTAGGACAGAGGTGTTTCCCTGCTGCTTTAACTGATGGGGACAAAACACACACGCAAAGAGGGAGGCTGCTGAAAGCTACAAGGGAGTGGCAGAGGGAGAGCATCTTCCAATATGGCATAGAGAGGATGGCAAGGTTACCGCGGCGCACACAGGGGCTTGGCCCTTCCATAGTGAACACCTAGGACGGCACATCCACCCTGTCTTTGTAACCTGGTCCTAGTCCAGGGTGATACTGGGGAGAGATTTTAGCAAAAGAAAATGAGCAGAAATGAGTCATGGCCCTGAGTTCCGGGGTCTCTTCCATGCTCTCTGGTGATGCCAATGCTGAAAATACCACCAGTCAGCCCTGGGCTCATCCAGCCCCCTCAGGCCCAGCCAGCTGCTGTCCCCACCACCTCTGTGCTTGCCAGCAGTTGAAGCACCCATTGTATCACAAGCTGATCGAGGAGAGCATGGCGGGGGCCATCCTTGGGGGAGCCTCAGGACGGAACTCTGAAGAGCAGAAGTGGCAAACTGGCATCCTTGAGGTAAACTTCACCAACAATGGGTTTTCAAATGGGCAAAAGTACTGTACACTGGGCACCTCAATTATTCCTCAAAGCAACCACGTGAGGCAGGCATTATCAACTATTTTTATAAGTGAGGAAACTGAGGCTCAGAGATGTGTTCAGGGAGATCCCCAGTGAGAATGCTGGCTGTGGCTGCAGCCTCTTCTCTCCATCCACCCTCTGCTCTCAGACGAAGGAGTTGTCTCTCAGTTCCTTCTCTTGCCCTTCTGAGTCCTGCCACTGCTGTGCTCTACCAGGAGGCTAGCACGTCTGTGTCCCAAGGACCGTGGACCACCCCAGGTGCCCCAGGCTCTGCAACTCTCTGCCCCTGGCCCCCTCCAACAGGCAGCCCTCTGCTGACAGATTTGTCCCAAACCAGCATTCTGTCCTGGAAACCTTACCTGCTCAGGCTGAGGACAGTGACCCTTAATCTTTCTGCTGCCTCAGCACAGAAATGATGACACTGGAGGCATAACACACTGCCAAGGGTGTCCCCAGCCATTATGCACATATCCACAGCATACTCGCTGTCACGCTAGCCCCATGACACTCAAACGGAGCCCATATCCCTCTACCCCACCCCGTGCCCACGGATACCTGGTAATGTGTTGTTGCATTCTGCGTTGTCACAGTGACCAGAGGGGCTACTGGCATTTAATACCTGAGGCCAGGGGTGCTAAATGTCTTGTAATGTAGTGTGTGTGTGTGTGTGTGTGTGTGTGTGTGTGTGTGTGCGCGCGCTCATGTGTGTGATCTTTCCCACCCTCCTCAAAATGCCAGCATCACTACATCCAGAAACACACAGCATCCATCCCCTTCTTGCCCCCTCGAGAACGTGCATCAGAACTCAAGGGCTAATCTCATTATCATTCACCCTAAATTACATACAGAATAAAGAAGTCATTTTCTGACACAGACTTTTCACTATCATTTCTAAGAACTGTGTACACACTGCAAGGTTCATGACCCCTGGGTTCAGGACCTCCAGCCCGGGGGATACAGTTGGGAGGGGTTTTCGTCTATGACAACAAACCAGACTCACCTTTCTCCTGAGCCATCTCCTGCAGACAGAAGTAGATGACTCTGGCTCCCAGGCTGAAGCCAATCAAGGTGACAGGTCGCCGGCCCTGGGGGAGAAAGGACACAGGTGTCTGGAGGTGACACAGCCCTGACGAAGGGGGTCCCTGAACACTCCCAGCGCCTGCCTCATGCTTAATGAATCATGCATGTGCTATTCCTGGCCCCCGAGTTCTGACGTCTTAATCAGGAGAGCTGAGAACCTCATTTATGCACAAGGGCACCTGCCACTGGAACTGGCTTCCTCCCAGGCCCACAGGCAGCCTCCGGCTGGGTTAACTCCCTTTCATCTTAGACCATTATCGAGCCGCTGCTCTCGCCTTCCCCAGGAGACAGGACTAGTCAATCACGAGAGCTCCTTCTCTTGGACTCATCTACTTTGTGGCAAAAGACCACAGTGAATAGGACCCCTTCTGGAGCCGGGAGATTAGGAGGAAGGCATCTCCAGGTGTGATGGGTAAAAAGGCAAAGGGTGATATGGGAGGGACCACTGTTTGTCTCTAGACAGGGAAGTGGGACATGAAATACTGGCTATAAGTTTATAAGGAGAAGGTAGTAAATTAGACATAAAGAGTTTTCTGACTGATGAACTTGTAGAAAAGGCAACTTGCTATTACAGGAAGGTTGTAAAGAACAAGAAAGTTACCTGGGGTATTTGGGTACGAGTTCTACATGGAAGGAGGGGGAAGTGGTAGATGAGCTCTGGAGGTTGAGTCTGGTTTTACCAGTATATTCTTTTCTGTGATTTTTACCCCATACATGTATCCCTTCCTCCACTTTATTTACTACAATAGAAAATTCCCCATTAAATAATACTCAGATTGTCAGCCTTTGCGGCAAAGGCTGCTAGTTGTCTCCCAACATCCATCCTCCCCTTTGTCCTCTGGTAATGGAACTCCTGGGTTTTACTAGGCACACAGCTACTGGCCCAAGGCTAAATTTCCCAAACTCCTTTGTAGCTAGGTGTGGCCACATGGCTGAGTCATGGCCAAGGGATGTGGAGGGAAGTGGAAGGTGTGACTTCTAGGCAACCCTTTATTTTCACATTCCTACTTCTCACTGGCTGAAATGTGGACATAATGCTGGAAGATCTGTCTTGGACTACAGGAGAGAAGGCAAGTGTTGAGGATGTGAAGCGAGAAGACTGAAGGAGTCTGGGCCCCTGATACTGTGAAGCTGCCATGCGGTAGGCTGAATAATGCCCCCTCACATGCCAAGGATGTCCATGTCATAATCCTGGAGCCTACGAATGTTACCTTACATGGCAAAAGGCACTTTGCAGACATCATTAAGTTAAGGGTCTTGAGATGGAGAGATTATCCTGGATTATCCAGGTGGGCCCAATGTAATCATAAGGATCCTTGTAAGAAGGACACAGGAAGAGCCAGAGTTAGATAGAAGGCAACGTGAAGATGTAAGCAGGACAGACAGAAAGAGATTTGAAGATGCTACGCTGCTGGCTTTGAAGATGGAGGAAGGGGTCACGAGTCAAAGATGGATGTGGCCTTTTAGCTGGAAAGGGCAAGGGAAGAAACAAGTTCTCTCTTGGAGGCTCCACAAGGAACGGAGCCCTGTGGACCCATTTCAGACTTCTGGCCTCCAGAACTGTAAGATAATAAACTGTGTTGCTGGAAGTCACTGTTTGTGGTAATTTGTTATAGAGGCAATAGGAAACTCATACATATCATAGTGCCCTGGATGCTCACACCCAGACTGTTACATGGAAAAAAATAAACTTCTACCTTGTTTAAGCCAATGTCATTTTGATTTTTGTTATATAGCCAAACCTGCTATAGGACTTCTCTATTTCTTTTGGCAAAGATATAGGGATTGGATGAGGGTTAGCAGTTTCTCAAGCAACTTACTCACTGTGACAGAAACTGCTAGTTGTCCCTCAGTATCTCCCTCTTTTCCATAGATACTGAATTTCAATTGGGCTCATGGCCACCCAGAAAAGACTACATTTCTCAGCTTCTGGTGCAAACGGTTAAGTGCTCGCCTACTAACTAAAAGGTTGGTGGCTCAAATCCATCCAGAGGCACTTTGAAAGAAAGGCCTGGACATCTACTTCTGAAAGATCATAGCCACTGAAAATATTATGGAGCATAGTTCTACTCTGACACACGTGGGGTCGCTATGAGTAGGAATCAACTTGACAGCAACTGGCTTGGTTTTTGGTTTTACGGCAGCTAGATATGGTCACATGACTAGGGCCTGGCCAATGAGACATCAGCAGAAGTGCTGTAAGACTTTTGCTCTGTTCATCCTTTTCTTTCTCCATTACCTTGAGTACAGATGCTGTCATCTTGGACCATGAGATCAAGACCGTGTACAACGGAGCAACAAGCTAGAAAGTACCCGGGCCTCTGACACCTGGCATACTGTTCTAGAGTGGGACTGCCTTCCTAGGCTTTTACATGAGAAATAAACTTCTATCTTATTTAAGCCACTGTTATTTTGCGTATTCTCTCACTTGCAGCCAAAACCATTCCTAACAACACAGTCATCTCTGCTATTATTTCTCAAACTTTTCCTTCTATTTAACTCACGTTTACTCTGTAGGAAGGCAGTTTCATCTCCACGGTTAAGTACATCATTACTAGATTCAAAATTTAAAAGTACAATGTTATGATGATTTCTCTTCCTAATCATTTTACAAGGTATTTAGGCCACTGGAGATTTCCTCAGGTGGGAGCTTGGTACTTTTAGGGAGGAACACCTGGCCACCAGGATGTGGGAGTTCCATTTGCAGCCAGTAGAGGCATATATTCTCATTCACTCTACTGGCTGCACTGCAAACCCAGCCAGAAGTTTCCATTGAAATCTCACCCTAATAAGCCCAGCCAAAGGAGCCCTGATGGTGCAGTGGTTAAATACTCAGCAGCTAACCAAAAGATCGGCAGTTCAAACCCACCAGCTACTCTGCAGGAGAAAGATGTGGCAGTCTGCCTTCATAAAGATTACAGCCTTGGAAACCCTATGAGGCAGTTCTACTCTGTCCTGTAGGGTCGCTATGGGTCAGAGTTGACTTGATGGCAATGGGTTTTGTTTTGTTTTTTGGAGCCCAGCCATTACTGCTAAACTTTTTAGTTAAAAGTCGATACACAGGAGCTATTTTGTCTTCTGCTCTAATCTTCCCACCTTGCTCATCCCTGCAGATGACCCTGTTATCCAGTCCTCACCTAATTACCTGCTGGAGATGCACAGCCTAAGATTCTGACTGGTCCATCCTAGGACAGACACTTCCACGACTTGAACTGGAGGGGTAGTGAAGACCACCCCCCAAAGCCACTGGATTACTTCCACATAGACTTGTCTCTAAGGTTGACATCTGTGTGCAAGTCAACCCCCTCATTTTCCCTCTTGCCCCTCACCCGCTGCCATTCTCAGGTTACCTGCTGCCGGGAGAGCAGGATGTGGGCCAGATGCTTGCCAACCTCTGCTGATCGGTGGAGGCACACACCCCAGGGGTTGTCAATGACGTTGGCGACAGCGAGGAGTGAAGCTGGCAAAGTCAGGGCAGCCACAATGCCTGGGGAGGTGGGAAACCAGTGATGAGGGGAGTGGGAGGTCCTTCTAGGGAAGTGACTGGCTAATGGATGCCTTTAGAGTGAATGCATGCAGACTATCTAACTTGGAACTTGCAGGTTTTCCGAGGGTTGTCCAGCTGCTAAAAAGGAGACATTTGAAGCTCCTGCATTTCTCATGCATGGAGTAGACTTCCTCCGCTAAAGCACTTGTCTTGTGGGAGACTCCAAAGATAGCTCCAGTTCATCACCTCGCCCTGTATCCTCCCACTTTTCATCGTAACTCTGCAATGCCCTCCCATCATGATGGACTGAACTGTCCATCCATCCACTCTGGGCTCATCCATGTGACTTGCTTCGGCCCGTGAGACGTTAGAAAACGTGAGGCTTGAAATGGACTGTGCATCAGGGCTTGCCTTTCTTACACTTCTTCTATCGGTATGTGCTAGCCTGCTAACCCAGAAAGGTATGAAAGCAGAGCTGAGTTGCCTTAGTTGTCCCAGACAAGGTTAGCCTAGATCAGTGGACAGTCAGCTGACCCAAAGACACGAGCAGGCCCAGCTAAGATCTGCCAACCCTAGTCTCAAGACTTGTGTGCTATAATAATAAATGCTTGTTATTTTAAGCCACTGAGGTTTGGGGTGGCTTGTTATGCAGTTGATGGCAACGGGTTTGGTTTTTCTGTTTTGTTATGCAGCAATAGCTAACTGATACATTATGTGATTATGTGGTTGGCTGTTCACCTATCTCCTCCCTGCAAAAACCATGAACTTTTCACAATATAGGAATACAGCCTGAACCTCTTTGTGTCCCTAGGGCCCATCACAGAGCCTGGTTCACTGGGGCCTCAGGCATGCAAAGGTATGGAACCAGGTGGGATGGGAGCAGTGACATGCTCTTGTGGGGAACAGCAAAAGACTTACCAGACAACACTGTGTACTTCAGGGCCTCTTGGGCCACCATGGTGGCCAGACCACTGAGGATGGTCTCCAGGGCGTTGCCGAGCTCCATCAGGTATTTGGCCTCCCACGCCAGACAGTACTGCTCACGGCTGCGGGCCAGGGCAGCCCATGGGGCGATGAAGGTGCCTGTGGAGAACACAGGGAGATGGGATCTCTCCTGTCTGCATCAGAAAATGCTCCAACTCACCTTTCTGAGCAGGCAGCAACAGAGGAACACTCTCACCCTTGGAGGGAAGATAAGAGGCCCACCACCTGCCAATGAGTGGCAGCTGTTAGCAGAGCCTATGGAACTCAGTACTGCCTTGGGAGTCAGCAGTCTGGTGTTCAGATCCCAACTCCTACATTCATTATAGCTGGTGACCTTAGGCACATCACTATCTCACCTTGAGCCTCACTTTATCTGTGAAGTGGGGAGATTAATATGTATCTCTCTTCAATGGGTAGTTGTAAGAAATTAGTGCTTCAACTACTATTATATACGTATTGTCTTCTCTCACCCTGCAGTAATTCTGGCATCAGAGAAGTTCAACAGGTCACTTCATTCATTCATTCTTTTGACTTGTTCATTCATTCATTCCAAACACATTAACCAGGTGCCTCGACTATGCCAGGCTCTGAAGATACAGATAATTATCATTGGAGGTAACGTTTACTAAGCATGTACTTACATACTAAGTGCCAGGCAAATCTGTGCTGGGGACTGTACCGGGACTCTTTCATTTAATCCTCTCTGTAGCCTCTAAAATAGATACTATGATGAGCATCACTTTACAGCTGAGGAAACTAAGCCATCTAGATAAAACAGCTCTTGGTCCAGGGAGGGAGTGAGCCAAGTAAACATCATACAGTGATGCTATCCTGAAAGAGGAGTCCTTGGGTGGTGCTAACGATTAACACGCTCACTGCTAACTGGAAGGTTGGTGGTTCAAGTCTCCCAGAGGTGCCTCAGAAGAAAAGCCTGGTGATCTACTTCTGGAAAGGAGCCACTGAAAACCCTCTGAGTGCATTTGTACTCTGACACACATGGGGTTGCTATGAGTCAGGGTTGATTCGATGGCAACTGGTTACTGGTTATCCTAGGAGAAGGAACAGGGGTCTATGGGAGCACAGAGGAGGGGCCCTAATCTGGCCCCCATCCATTTCTGACTGTGGCCCAAATGACCATTTCAAAACACAAATCTCTTCCTACCTTCAATAGCTTCTGGATCTTCTCTAGGTTCTCCTATGTCACTTTTACTTGTCCTTGAGATTCCAGTTCAATTACCTCCTCCACGGGAAGCCTTCCTGGCCCCTTCGACTAGATCACACACACTTTGTGCCTTTTTTCATAAGCTCTCATCACAGGCTGTAATCACAGCTATGTTTGTGTCCCTGTTTAACGTATATCTCTCCCACAGGCTGTTTTGCCAAGTTGTATATTCCCAAAACCTGTGATGTGGCACTTGGTCAAAGAAAAAAAAAACAAATCTATTGCCACTGAGTCGATTCTGACTCATAGCAACTCTATAGGACAGAGTAGAACTGCCCCATAGGGTTTCCAAGGAGTACCTGGTAGATTTGAACTGCTGACCTTTTGGTTAGCAGTTGTAGCTCTTAACCACTATGCCACTAGGGTTTCCTGGCACATGGCAGGCACTCATAAGTACATGATGAACGAAAGGATGGAGTCAATGTCCCAGAGCTTCAGGTTCTGGATGTCAGCTCTACACCACTCTAGCTGCTGGAGCCAAAGGCCTCCCCTGTCTCCCCCTGCCACAGGGTGCTATGTTGGTCCAATGACAACTCTACGGTTGCTCCTTCCCTCTGTGGGACCCTGTCACAGCTCTGCAACAACTCAGGGATTGTCAACAACTCAGCCATAAAAAGGAATGAGGAATTATATATGCTATGACATGGGTGAACTTTTTTCTTTCTGCATTAAAAAAAATATTTTTTTGGTTGTTGAATATACACAGCAGAACATACACCAGTTCAACAATCTCTATAAGTACAATTTAGTGACACTGATTACATTCTTCGAGTTGTGCAACCACTCTCATCCTCCTTTTCCAAATTGTTCCTCTCCCATTAACATAAAGTCATTGCCCCCTAAGCTTCCTATCTAACCTTTCCAGTTGCTATCATCAATTTGATCCCATACAGACAATTCTTTACGAGCTTGACTGCTAACTGAAAGGTTGGTGGTCTGAACCCACGAGAGTCTCTGTGGGAGAAAAGACTTGGCAATCTGCTTCCGTAAAGATTATAGCCTAGGAAACCCAATGGAGCAGTTCTACTCTCTCATATAGGCTTGCTATGAGCTGGAATCGACTCCACGGCACACAACAAGACAGTGCTTGAAAACAGCACAATGCTCAAGGCAGACATTCTTTATTAAGCTAAACTATTGTTTGGTTTAAAGAATACTTCAGGGGATATTTTTGGTTTAAGGTTTAAAGATTATCTCAGGGCAATAATTTTGGGGGTTCACTCAGCCTCAGTGGCTCCAGAAAGTCTAGATTCCATGAGAATTTGAAATTCTATGACATGGATGAACTCTGAAAACATTGCACTGAGTGAAAGACGCCAGACACAAAAGGACAAACATCGTGTGATTCCACTTACGTGAAATACAGGCAGCCCCTGGGTTATGAACGTCCGACTTATGGACAACTCATACTTAAGAAATGGACTGAGTTAAATACAATGGTTCATAGTAATGACCATGCACACTACTTGGTGATGGTCATGAAAACTGTGTGGTTTGGAAGTGTTTCTTAAGTGTTTTATATGCATAGAAAGGTAAAGTATATACTAAGACAAACATTTGACTAACTAACACTAAGTAAGAACTGTATACACCTGTTCCAATCTACCTACAAATTCAACTTAAAGACATACTTAGGAATGGATCTTGTTCATAACCTGGGGGCTGCCTATAGCTAGAAGAGGCAAATACATAGAGACAGAAAGTAGATTAGAGGTTACGAGGGGTTGGGGAAAAAGGGAATGAGGAGTTATTGCTTAAGAGGTGTTGACCTTCCGTTTGGGGTGATGAAAATGGTTTGGAAATAAGATGGTGGTGATGGTTGCATAACACTGTGAATGTAATTAATACTACTGAATTGTATGCTTAAAATGGCAAATTTTATGTTATATATATATATATATTTTGCCACACACACTGTCTCTAGAAGGTGACAGCCAGGCCTGAGAGAGGCGGCAGGTACAGAATGGCACAGGTTTGCCATGATGCTGTCCCATGAAGCTCAGAAGCTTCCGGGGTGTGTGACTCACAGCAAGGCACAGTGCCCTGAGTCTTGGTTTCTACATCTGTGAGAAGAGAACAACAATATGATTCCTGGTGTGGTGGGGATCACAGGAAATGCTGTATGAAAAGCATTATATAAAATGTAAAGTGCTGTACTGCACTGCATTACTCCATGGCCAAGAAAATAGGCTGTGGAGCCAGACAGAATGGGGGTGAGTCTTGCCCCTGCCCCAGCCTTTGCCTAGCTGGGTGACCCTGAGCAGCCCTATGAGCCTCAGTTTCCTCGTCTGTAAAATGGGGGAGATAATAATGCCCATCTCCTTGGGTTGATGCAAGGAACCAAGTGAACCGATGCAGGCAAAATGCTTGAGTTGATGCCTGGTTCCCGGCAAGTGGTTTGCTATAAAACTATTATTGTTATTATACATAATCATGTTTAATAAAGGGGTGGGCCAAAGAAAATACAGTTAGTCTCATCGAACACAGAAGCAAGTGTAGCGAGTTGAATAGTGTCCTCCCAAATTCATGTCCACCTGGAAACTAAGAACGTGACCTTATTTGGAAATAGGGTCATTGCTGATGTAATTGTTAAGGATCAAGATGAGATCATATTGGGTTGGGGGAGGGGCTTAAATCCAACGACTGGTGTCCTTGTAAGAAGAGGAGAGACACACAGACACAGGGAAGAGGGGATGTGAAGACAGAGGCAGAGACTGGAGCCATGCAGCTACAAGTGAAGGAACGCCAAGCACTGCCTGCAACCACTAGAAGCAAGGAAGACTCAAGGAAAAATTCTTCTCTAGAGCCTCCGGAGGGAGCATGGCCCTGCTGACACCCTGAGTCAGGACTATTACCCTCCAGAATTGTGAAAGAACAATTTCTGTGGTTTCAAGACACCCAGTTTGTGGTAATTTGCTATAGCAGCCACAGGAAACTGGCTTCCTTGGCTGTCAGAGAGGCAGGGATGTTTTCCTTTCCAAACTTTCTCTACCTTGGTTATATTACTTTTATACTAATAAAAAATAAACCCAAACCACTTCTTCTGCCTGGGTTGCCACTGCACTAGACTGTCAGGGAAGAACACTAAAGATGATTTCCTTCCCCTAAAATGAACTTGACCTTTGACCTGAGGCAACTTGATGAGCCAGTGGGGGTATAATGAAGACAAGGGATTTGCTTTCCATACTGGTTAGAGCTGCAAATTCCTTTAGTTAGACTCCTGCTCTTGTTCCTCCCTCTCTCTCCTCTTCTTCCTGTAACATGGGGTAGTGAAAACAAATGAAAAGAAACATATGGATTTTGGGTTCGAATTCTGCATCTGCCACTCACCTGTGATATCAGCCCTGTGGGTTTCCTCTTCCTACTGATCAGGATAAGGAAAGCACACACCAGAAGCTGGACGTGAGGATTATAGGCGGTGGCCCATATCACGTGTCCATTATGTAGGTAAAATGCCAGGCATGGGGTAGGCACATACTAGGGGCTCAGTTAATGTTTAGAGACCTACTGTGTGGGGAGGGACCTGACTCTGGTGCCTGGTAATGTTTCTAAACAGAGCCCAGACGTTTTCTCACTTGCTTTCTTCCTTACAAGATCTGTGACTTTCACCTCTGGTCTCACAGACTGGGGACCCTGGAGGCTCTCAGCATGTGTCCTTCGGTGGTCAGGTTGGGATGTTCAGGATTTCCTGGTCCACCCTGCTCTGTGATGAACTGTTTGCTGAGCCTCACACAGGGCACTGGCAAAGGTGAGCTAGGCAGTGGACCATAGTGTTTATCCCCAGTGATGCCCTGGTTAGAAGCTCCTGTTGGGAAGACAGACTGCTGTAGCCCCTCTTCAATAGACTGCCTAATCAAGAGCCTTAGGCCCAGAACATTCCCTGATAATGCAGGCTGGGAACTGAGCCTACTTCTTCCTTATCAGGGTAACTCCTTCTCTGTTATGAGCCTAATGAGTACCTCTTTGATCATTTATTCATGAGTACCCTATGGTACCTGACCAATGCCACTACTATTTCTGTTCCCAGCAGGGAGGGGATGGGGTCTCTCAACTGCAACATGAGAAGGGTGTGTACAGAACACCAGCCCGGAGGAGGCTGCAGTGACCCACTGGCCATGGGGGACTGACATCCGCTATTGAAGGTGACCTTGCTCTGTCTCTTCTCGACGTGAGTAAAGTATCGTTCCAACCAGTGCCCGTGCATGAGCTGTGTCTTTCTTGGCAAACTTGGACCTTGACTCAACACTCCCCAAACACACAAGTTAGAGCAGCAAAGGGAACAAATGTTTATGAAATGCCAGCTAGAACCAGGAGCTGTGCTGGACGCCTTCTGCATATTATTTCATTTAATTTAATCCTTTTGCAACACTGAAAGGCAGGAATAATTTGTTCCAGTTTACAAATGAAGCAGCTCATATACAGAGAGGTTAAATAACTTGCTTGAGGGCACACAGCCAAGATGTACTGATCTCTTACCTCAGTGCCTGAAGTCTTTCACTGTCTTCCACTTGTGCTTAAGATAAACTTAAACCCCTCACTACAGCTCAAACACTCCTGTGTGATCTGGCCCGTGCCCATTCTTCTGTCTTCTGGCTCCCCACTCTAGCCACTCTGTACTCCGGTTGGTTCTCTCATACCGCTGGGTCTTTGCACACGCTGCTCCTTTGCTTGGTATACATTTCTCGCTCCTTCTTTACCTGGCTACCTAGCATTCATTCCTTAGGTTAAATGTTACTTCCTCCAGGAAGCTTGCCCTCATTACCCAGAAATACCCTGTACCTATTGCACCTTCCATAAAAACTCAAAATCCCACTGCCACAGAGTTGATTTCAACTCATCGCGACTCTATAGGACAGAGCAGAACTGCCCCACAGGGTTTCCAAGGCTGTAGTCTTTATGGATGAAGACTGCCACATCTTTCTCCCACAGAGCGGCTGGTGAGTTAAAACCACTGACCTTTTGGTTAGCAACTGAGCGCTTAACTACTGTGACACCAGGGCTCCTTCCATCCATAAAGCTTCCTTGTAATTTCTTGCTCAATAGTCTGTCCTCTGCCTTGGACCATATGTTCCAAAGGAGCAGAGGTCATGCCTGTGCTGTTCACCATTGATCCTCAGGGCCTGACTCAGTGTCTGGCACATGGAAAGTACAGTTTACTCTAAGTATTGCTAAATGGATGGATGGAAGGATGGGTGGATGTGTGGGTGGATAGGTGGATAGATGGATGAATACATGGATGGATAGATGGATGGATAGGTGGGGGATGAAGACACTTCACCTCTCTGAGCCTGTTTTCTCCTCTGTAAAATCGGGCTCCTAAAACCAACCCCTCCTAGAGACAGAGACAATCAAGAGTCCAGCCCAGGGTCTGAAATGCAGCAGCAGGCCCACTTCAGCTGAAGCCCACCCCCGCTTCCCATCCTTTGCCGCCTCCTGCCCTCTGGTTCTCACGGTATTTTCCAGATGCGAGCCACCCTGTGATGGTGATGGTGATGTGCAGCTGCCTGCCTTCCGTCAGAGGCAGGAACGTAAACTCTTCAATGGCCCCAACACGCTTCTTCATCTTGTATCCTAAAGACCCAGACAGGAGAACAGAAATGGAGGTGACTGGTGGCCCCGGAGAACATCAGCCAGAATGGCCCATTTGGTGAGCACCCGCTATGTACCCTGCCCTGGACAAGTGCATTTTGTTCTTGAGGTAGGTGTCATTATTGTCCCCAATTATAGACGAGAGTAAGGGGGACTGCTCAAAGCCAGCCAGCCCCAGAACTGCAAGCCATGGTTAGAACTCAGAGCCCAGGCTCTAAACCATTACTCTGTCCTGACTAAATTGATTCTGTACCTTTTTCCTTCCCACACACTTTGGGGGTATGACACCTGTACTCAGTAAAAGCGGATCAAACTAACCAAGATTCTCAATGTGGGGAGTGATACCCTACTCAGGGAGCTGAATGGGAATCTATGTGTGTGTATGCGCGCGTGTGTGCGGGCGCGTGTGTGCTGACATATATGGTTTGGAAGAACTCCCCTGGGTGATGCTGGTAAATGAAGGATAGCTATGTACCCTCTAAATATGAGGAAGCCCAAACAGCTCTGCCTGGGACTATCCAATAGGATAGCCCCTTACTGGATGGTGGCAAGGAGGTCCAATCAAGTCCTTTCTCAGGAAGTTTGTAGAAGGTGCAGGGAGAGAGGCCAGTTCCTCAAACTCAGCCCTCACCCTGACACATGCTGAGCTACTGGTCCAGTTCTCTGTGAAGCCTGCTGCAAGTTCTGGCAGGGCTGAGGCCCAGAGTAAGAAAAGCCACGCCCTGCCTCTTCTAGGCTTCCCAGGGAACGCCCACCGAGGAGAATCTGGGGTGTCCTTTAGGGGCTGTGTTACCCTCGTTGAAAATACCTTACAATTGCACCACTACTCTGGAACCTCACCTGTCAAGCCAGCTCCAGCTGCACCGAACAGTGAGGTCATGACGGCTATGCCGGCCACTGAGCCCAGAGCTGCTGCCCCAGCACTGCCAATGATCGTTGCGGCTCCCATGGCGACAAGTGGGGCAGCTAAACCCCCGGTCACACCTGCAAGGAAAGCAGTCCACGGTGGGTAAAGGCGAAAATGAGGACGTGGCCCGTTGGGTTCTTCCGCCGTCAGCTGCCCACTGCGGTCCATGGAAGCTTCTAACAACACCAGTGAACCTACTACTGACTGAGCAGCTACTGTGTGCCATGCCAGCAACACCAGTTGCTATTGAGTCAATTCTGACTCATGGTGGCCCCATGTGTGTCAGAGTATAACTGTGCTCCATAGGGTCTTCAATGGCTGTTTTTTCGGAAGTAGATTGCCAGGCCTTTTTCTGAGGTGATCCAGGGCGGACTCAAACCTCCAAACTTTTGGTTAGCAGCCGAGCACATTAATCATTTGTACCACCCAGGAACTCCACTATGTGCCAGGCATTTACTAATATATTATTGCATCCTCAAAACATTATCCCCATTTTCCAGATCAGGAAACTGTGGTAGGCAGAATAATGGTTCCCTAAAGATATCCATGTCCTAATCCCCAGAACCTGTGAATTTGTTACCCTACATGGCAAAAGGGACTTTGCAGATATGATTAAGTTAAGGATCTTGAGATGGGGAGATTAGCCTAGATTATCCATGTGGGCCCAATGTAGTCATATGATTCCTTATAAGAGGGAGGCAGGAGGGTTAGAGCCAGGGAAGGAGATGTGATAATGGAAGCAGAGGTCTGAGTGATTGGGCCACAAGCTAAGGAATGCTGGCAGCCTCCAGAAGATGGAGAAGGCAAGGCAACACATTCTCCCCTAGAGTCTCCAGAAAGAACACAGGCCCACTGACATCCTGATTTTAGCCTAGTAAGACACATTTTGGACTTCTGACCTCCAGAACCGTAAGATAATATACTTGTGTTGTTTTAAGCCACAAACAAGGCTAAGTGAGCTGGAGACACAGTAAGAAGGCAGGGTTGGGGGAATGAGGCATCTAGGAATGAGGGGGAATGGAATCTGGGCTGGAGGACAAAGTAGACTTAAATGGAAACAAGAGAAGGCACGCCATTCAGTCAGGGATGGCTGCAGAACTGGCTGAGGGAGCTCCCTGGTCACTGACGGTTGCCAAAGATGGACTGGATTCCTGTCTGGGGTGGACACTTCGTGGACCGGCCGCCTTCGAGGTCCTTCCACTCCCATCTCGGGGTCACCTCCTAGCTGATCCCCCTGCATGCTGCACTCTCACTCGAAGCCTGGCATCACCTTTCACTCTGCACCACCCTGGTCCCTGCGCCACCACCTCAAGCCGGTCTTACCAATCACTGTCCCGCCTCCGACAGTCGCCAGGCCTATCAGGAGATAGCGCTTCCATTTCCTCAGGTTTTCTTTCTTCTTCTGGGATGCCTCAGCCGTTCTGGGGGAGAAGAGGCTGGTCTTCAGGGCCAGCTGTGCCCGGGACCCTTTGAGACCTCCCCACCTCACCAACCCCCAAACTGGGGTCAATGCTGGGTATGCTGTCATGCAGAGCAAGGCACCCAAGTCACCCTGGGCCCATCAGTGGTCTCAGAAAAGCTGATGACATTCTGAAACCCAGCTGGGGAATCCCAATGTGTGGGGTGTGCTACTTACCCAACAGATCCATCCTAACAGGGTTGCAATTTGAATAATGAAAAGACAAGAAAATAATAAAAACAGCAAAAGAAGTACAAAAAGTATCTTTAAACAGATGGACCCAGAACAAGTACAAAATAGAATCACAGACTCCACTGCCTCCCACCTAGCCTCCTTCCTCCCCTGCCCCATCCCACCTCCCTCTAGGACATTTGGAAACCAATTTCCTTTGGAATAATCATTTCGAAGATGGGTTACAGAAATGTCTGCATTGGTGACCTTAGCCTGGGAGCAATGTCTAGCATTGTTTAGACCTGAAATTTAAAAGCTGTAAAATTTAGCAACAGGAAAGAATTGAGAGTGGATGGGGGTCAGGCGGGTCCTGAGACGGTTGCTGTGAGGGCTCAGGGACTTTTCCTGTGAGGGATTCAGCCCTCAGCCATTTTGAAGCCACAGGAGTAAGACGAGAGGGTGAGGGTGGGGGCACTGAGTTTATTACTAGCGCGGACTCTGAACTGACGCTGGAGTTTGGACAAAAACTTATCATTGATGGCAAATGATAAGGATAATAAAAGAAGAATAATAGTTAATATGTATCCAGGGCTTCCTATATGCCAGCCACTGTGTTTGGCACTAACACAGTTAATCTTATCCTAAGAAGCAGCAATGGAGTCACTAGGGGGTTGTGGGGGGTGCGAACTGCACCGAGTGACACTGTCAGAAGGGATGACACCAAAATGATGGAATGTAAAATTTTTGTGCAGTGTTTCAGCAGAAATTTATTATTTTTCATAAAAATATCCCTGTAGTTATAACAAAAGCATTTTTCATAAGCCCAGCTTACATGTATCAATATACCTACAAAGCTAAAACTCTATGCTAATTTCCTTTTAGAGCCTTCTAATGCGCTCTGGTCAAAGCTGTCATCATGATGCAATTACAGCGACGCTTCCAATCACTTGGTTTCATCTGCACAAGCGCTATGAGCATGTGCTGTCATTTTCATTGCTGCTGGTGGTTTTACAGTCGCTTATTTTGTCAAATTTTCTGGTGTTTTAGCTACAGTGTTATGGTAATTAGTATTTGTGAACCTATATCAATAACTAAGCAGTAATTAAAGGAAAAGGAGAAAAATAAAAAAGGCTTCTGCTCAGTTGCTAATAATGTGGTAACTAATAATGTAATTCAATGTAGAAAGATTTTCCAAAACCATTTTGTTGTTAGTATTCATATAATCTAAGAAATACTACATTTAAGCAATTTACAACTATATTTATCACATATTGTTCTATGATTCAAATTGATTATCAACTTACATGTATAACAATGATTGATTATATAACTCTGATAACTATACAGAGAAACTGACAGTTTAAAACATGAGGTGGGAGAAATGCTATGTTCCTTGACAAATGTTTAGAAATATAACTTAAATCTTAAATTAGCTTTTTAAAAAAAAGTTAGTCTTTTTAATTTTCTTTAAAAACATCACTGTCTTGTAAATATATACCTGACATTACTGAAATTTTCTGGGTTTAAGTCTGAATTATGGTTTAAAAAAATAGTGACACATTAAAAAGTGAGGTGGCAAAAGGCGTAGATTTTGATGAAGTCATTCACAAATTCACAGCTTTGAAGACCACGAAAGGAAAGTTTTGATTTAGTTGAGATGTTCACTAAGTGCTGAAATGCATGTATATTTGTGCTTGTTTATTTTCATGGTATTATTTCATTTATAAATATATATCCATATGCTTCTGTCTACAACTTCTATACTATTTGGGCCAGTATTGACTATACAAACCTCATCCATTAATGTACCTCATGCAACGGTAAAGTTTAATGTTAAAATGAACAAATTGAACATTTTTACTTCAAATTCTATTGTTTTCTTAAATTTTTTCTGTTTTCTTCAAATTTTCACTTTAACCACATAAAACTATGTAAATCTAAATACATTTAGGCTGTGCATATGATATTATAACTTAAGGGCGTAATTTTATTTTAATTTTTTTATTGTGCATTAGGTGAAGGTTTACAGAGCAAATTAGTTTCCTACTCTAAAAGTATAATTTTAATTTTGCTAGTTGTTTATGTCACTACTATTGCCATTATATTCAGTGATATACGGGAATTACGATTTATGAGCAACATTAGTACAAAAAAAATTACTAAGGATCCTGTAGGGTCTGGTATGGGAGGAAGTGATACCATGAGTTACTGCGCCGGGTGACACCAACCCTAGTGACTCCACTGAGAACCAGTATTATTACTGTCCCTATATTACAGACGTAAAAAATAGTACCTACCTCCTGAGGGGCTATGGAAATCAATTAAGAGAATATCTGCAAAGCATTTAGCATAATGGTTGGCATGCAGCAAGTGTTCAATAAAATGGCGGCTATTGTTATTATGGAGTCCCCGGTGGTGAAACAGTTAATGCACTCAGCTGCTAACAGAAAGGTTCGAGGTTTGAGTCCACCTGGTGGTGCCTTGGAAGAAAGGCCTGGTGATCTACTTCTGAAAACTCAGCCACTGAAAACTCCATGGAGCATAGTTCTACTCTGACACACATGGAGTCGTCATGAGTTGGAATTAACTGGACAGTAGCTGGTTGGTTTTTTATTGTTATCACACTTCACTTCCCTGAGCCTCAGTTTCCTCATTTGTAAAATGGGGATAATAGCATCTACCTCACTAGGCTGTTGGTTTGTACAGATTAAATTAATTCGTGGCTTCACCCATTCAATCAACACACTTTTATTGAAAATGTCTCGGAGTGAAGACAATGTGGCCTATAGCCACAGCCAATCAGTAACAGACATAATCGCATGAACAGGAAATACACGTGTGCTTCTGTAAGCCATTGAGATTTGGGCTCATTTGTTACTGCAGCAAAACCCTAGCCTATCCTGATGAACAAACCCACTTACTAACGTCGTGACTGCACAAATTACTCATTAGCTCTGAGTTTCCTCATCCAATAAATGGGGATAATAACCAAAACCAACCAACTTGTTGCTGTCGAGTCTATCATGACTCATAGTGACCTTACAGCACAGAGCAGAACTACCCCACTGGGTTTCCAAGTAGTGGCTGGTGAATTCAAACTGCTGACCTTTTGATTAGCAGCCAACTCTTAACCATTGTGTCACCAGGGCTCCAAAGTGCTTAATTCCCAGGGGTTGTGAGGATTATAAATGAGAGAATCCACATACAGTAGCTGGCATACTGTAATCACTCAACAGTTGTTGCTACTATCATTCCTTCCATTATCACCATAATTTCCTTCCAAGCACAGGGTGGGGAGATACTTTGGCCCTTAACTGCTATCACTAGTCAGTGCAAATAGGATGGCTGGAAATTAGTTGCTTTTAGCAGAGTTCATGGCCTGAGAAAATATTTAAGCTGAGAACATTCAAGAGGAACCTGCAACTGAACAAGCAGCTGGCTGTGAATCAGCTGCATCCTGATTCAACAAACATGGCAAATGGTCTTGAAATCTGGGGAAGAGGTATTTGAGTCCAGCTCTGCCATTATCTTGCTGGGGGACCTAGAACAAGACACCCAATTTTTCTGAGCCTCAGTTTTCTCTTGTACGAAAAATAAATGGAGAACGACTCTTTGGAAGGATAAGGACAAGACTTAACTTATACAGCAGAGCCCTGGTGGTGCAAAGGTTAAGCACTCAGCCGCTAACTGAAAGGACGGCAGTTCAAACTTGCCCAGTTGCTCCATGGGCGAAAGATGTGGCAGTCTGCTTCCATAAAGATTACACCCTAGAAAACCCTATGGGGCAGTTCTACTCTGTCACATGGTGTCACTATGAGTCAGAATTGACTCAACGGCACCTAACAACAACAATATAGAGGCCAAGGTCAACAGGAAAGTATAATCACAGCTGTCTGCCTTGTTCTCATCCTCCCTCCCTGCCCTCCTGACTCCTTCAGCATAATGTATCACCTCTCCAGCATGGCATCCAGGTGCACTGTGACCTGGCCCCTGTCCACTTCTCCAGCCTCATCTCTTATCACTTCCTAACTTACACTCTACCCTCCAAAAATGCCGACCTGCTTGCAGGTATACTGCTATATGTCTCTGTACCTCTGTTCCTTCCAAGGACTTTCTCACCTTCCTTTGTCTGGTTAACCAAAGAGTCAGCTGATGTGACATCTCCTCCAGGAAACCTGCCCTGAGTTCCAGGGTTGGCTAAATGCCCCAACTTTGTGCCCCTCTAACCCTCTGTACCACATTATCCTGAAATTTTAGGCCAGCGATTTTCAAAGGGTGGGCTTTGGATCAACTGCATCAGAATCTCTAGCGGGTACTGTTTGAAAACACAGCTTTCCAGGCCTTAATCTCTAGGCATGCGGGTGAAGAATCTGTATTTGAAACAAGCTCCTCCAGGGATCCTGCTGTATCTAATGTTTGAAAACCACTGGACCAAATTTTCAGGGCACGGAGCAAGCCGTTTCGAGCTCCCCAACCTCAGCATCCTGTCCTAGGCTTGGAACTGAGAGGGCATTCAGAAAACTGAATGAAACCTAATTTTTCCAACAAAGATCGGAGGTGAACACCTTGCCATGGTGATATATTCCCTCACACACTATCCACATCTAAGGAAACTAGAGGGGCATGGGATGTACATTTTGGCTAAGTGAAACTATTTAGACAGAATATAAACCAATACACCAATTACCATTAAGACTGAAACTTCTAGAATATTAGAACAAATACGAAAGTTATAATTAATGTTATAAAGTTATAATTATTATTACAGATTTATAATTAAGAACATAGTCAAATTCTTGAGTTAGTGCCACTGACATTTCTCGGCATCATCTGCTTCTAGATTGTTCCTGCAGTAATGTCTGCACAGCTATGGTATCACATAGTCACTTATATTTAGCTAAGTTCCAAAGAGAAGACTCGTGGCCTAAACGGGAATAACCCTTTCATGAACGAATTAAAAATTAAAAAAAAAATTTTTGTTTATATAATGTCTTTTTACTAATGGAATGCATGCTGAATCATAGAGTGTGTCTGAATCTTTGGTAGGTAGTATGGATTCTGAATAATATTATGTGGGACACATATGTCCTTCTGGACTCTGTATTACCTTCTAGATCCCTCGACAGGTGCATACAATGTATGAAGCCTGAAAATGCAGTATTTGCACAAACATGGAATCATCTCGAGAAACTCAACTTCCAAATAACACAAAGGAACCCAGAAATATCTCACTACAAAAGCCAAAGGAGACAAAAGTTTTGCACAATCACACCTCCAGGATGCAACACCTCATACAATACCCTATAAAAACAGTTAATTTGTGGCACACACCCGTTGCTTCCATTTCAAACATTTACACAGGTCCCCCAGTAGCCCTGGTGGTACAGTGGTTGAGCACTCAGCTGCGAACTGAAAGGTCAGCGGTTCGAATCTACTAGCCGCTCAGCAGAAGAAAGATGTAGCAGTCTGCTTCTGTGAAGATTTACAGCCTTGGGAACCCTATGCGGGCACTTCTACTCTGTCCTATAGGGTCACTATGAGTCAAAATTGACCCAACGGCAATAAGTCTTACACAGGTCCCTACCTGCTGGCAGCAGGTACTATCAGTGGGAAAGCAGCTTCCTAATAAACCCAAGAGGTGGAAAATGTAGGAGGGTGCTATATGTCCTGCTGTTCATGAAACCCATTGCTGTCGAGCTGATTCCGATGCACAGAGACCCTATAGGACAGAGAAGAACTGCCCGCATAGGGTTTCCAAGGAGCAGCTGGTGGATTCAAACTGCAGACCTTTTGGTTAGCAGCCAAGCTCTTAACCACTGCGCCACCAGGGCTACCACTGTTCATGAAAGGGATAACTAAAAAGTAAATATAATCCTCGATGGCTGTGTTATTTAAATGTATGAATGTTAGTATACCCAATCAATTTTACAAATGATTGGATGGATCACATACTCTAATCTCTAGTATTCTGCTTTGTATTATTATTTAAATATTTATAAACATTCACTGACTCAAAAAGAATATATTTTTTCCTAAAGTTATATAGCTAAGGCACTCTCTCCTAATGCTCCCCTTAAGTGTCAGTCTATTTCTCTATTTAAGTATGTGAATGTTCTTCATAATTGTTTTGTACATAAAATGAATAGCTTTCTCAGTCATCATTAACTACTGCAGCATTTTACTCTTGCAATTACTTCAGCTGTCTGATTGAATTCCAACATCTAAAGCACAGGCAGAGACGTTCACTCTGAGAACCATCTTAGAATGCTTCCTGTATTTGAGAGTGAAAATTTAGGGAACAACACTAACTCCAAATGACAGCCTTGTTCCTATCACTGACTTTGTCACACTGATTAGATATGATGTCAACCTATACCATCACATACATGTTCTAGGATGCCAGAAATGACCTTGACTTGACCTTCCACTTCAACTTTCCAAAGACAGAGGTGGAAGCCAAATCGCAGATTTGGGCCAAATAACGGGCTGAAGCAAACATTCCTAATGAAAAGCAAGACACCCACACTGCCCATCTCACAGATCTACAAATAACTAAATTTCACTCACTGCCATCTTATCTCCTATGAGAGGGTGTTCCCTATCCTTACAATCAATCCTTACTGCCACTTCTTTTTTTTTAATCACCTTCTCTTGAAAGAGAGGGAGAGCTTATCTCCAGGAGGTCTAGAGACATTTTTCCTTGTAAAAGCTCAGAAAGCCCCATAAAAGAATTATCATTGTTGCTTTTTTCAAAATTGAGGGCACCTGGGATTGTCAACAATGACCTCAGGGATGCAATAAGTGACGTTCAGAGTGGATATCATTACGGTTGACTCAGACAGGCCTGGTTCAAATCCTGGCCCTGCTACTGATACCTGTGTGACCTTGGCTGAGTTATGTTGTTCTGTTTCTTCACCTGCAATGCCCTCAGAGGATTGCTGTGAGCATCAAATGAAATGATGTTGGGTGCTGGCATCTAGTACGCCCTCAATAAAAGTTAGTTGTTGACGTTGTTATTATAAGGGGACCAGTATCAACCTCCAGCAGTGTATTAGCTAAAGCTTACTGAGAGCCCACTATGTGCCAAGATTTGATATATATCAATTTAATCCTCTCAACAACCCTATGATGTAGATACTACCATTATCCCCATGTTACCAAAACAACCCCATTGCTGTCGAGTCGCTTCTGACTCATAGCGACTCTGTAGGACAGAGTAGAACTGCCCCATAGGGTTTTCAAGACTGTAAATCTTTACAGAAGCAGACTACCACCACATGTTTCGCCTGTGGAGCAGCTGGTGTGTTCGAACTGCTGACCTTTCAGTTCACAGCAGAGCACTTTAACCACTGTGCCACCACCTGAGGCACAGAGAGGTGAAGTCACTAAACAAGTAAGGGAAGCTAGAATAACCTTAGGGCTTGGATGGGACCCAAGAACAGAAAGTTGGCACATCACACTGGAAAGAATCACCTCAGAGTGCCAAATGATACAGAAACATCTCACGGAAACACAAAACCTAAGAGTTGAAAGAAATCTACATTTAATTCGATCCTCTAATTGTACAAGTGAAAAACTGGTGCTCAGAGAGGGGAAGTGACGTGCCCTAGGCCACACACAGTAGCAGAATCAAAATGAGAATCAAACTGGCTGAACAGTTACTATGCTTTCTCTGGCCTCAGATCTTTCTGGAAACCATAGATAGGATCTGGGAGGTCTGGAAAGTTCCTAAAATTGAATTAAAAAATTACACATGTGGAGCATTTTTCTGGGGGAAGGATCCACATATAATAACAATTACAATAGTAATATTAAAAAAGCAAATGATGATATTTATTGACGAGTTACTTTGTGCCAGGCCTGCTTAAAGCACTTTACATGAGTGAACTCATTTGAGCATGACAAGAACTCTATAAGGCGGGTGTTATTGTTATCTCATTTTGCTGGTGAGCAAACTAGAGCCCAGAGAAGTTAAATAATTTGACCAAGCTCGCATGGCTGGAAAGTGGCAGAGCTGATCTGTGTCTGACCCAAAGAAGGCTAGAACTTCTGTTTTACATCTTCCCTGGTGTGGCATTACTGGTATTTAATCAGAATAAATCCCTCTGGGTAATACATTTCTTTCTGACAACAAGATTTCCAAACAATAACTAGGGGTTCCTTCATTTCAAGGCACACAAGGCACTACAAATTTCCATTATGTCCAAAGAACTTGGGCAGCCCTTGTGTTTATGGCACTTGGCCTGGATTCAGGTATTTCTTTACTGATACAGCTCTGGGAACCAAAGCAAGTCCGTTTTCAGGTAATTTCAACAGGCAAGTTTCCTCCTTTCTCAGGGAAACTCCCGTCCCTTTGTCCAACAAATCCTGGCAAGAGGGCAACCCTGGCTGTAAATGTGGCTTCAGACCTAAATTCCCTGCTGAGCTGAGCTGGCACAACTGGGTTGTTCACAGAAAGCCACTGTGGCTGAACAAATCCCAGGGTGGGGAGATGTGCTTGGTGCCAGGAGCCCGCAATTAGGCTGTGACTGTGATTGATTTATTGTTCTTGGATTAGATCATGTGTGAGGTGTTTGAGAGAGAGCTGCTCTCTGGCCAAGTTATCAGTATAATTCCCTGATATGCACTCCTTAACATACACAGATAGTAAAACTGCTCTACAACTGTTAGCTACAGGAGCATGCAGAGGAAGGGGAAGACTCATATCTACTGAGCACTTGCTACATGCCAGCCCTGGGCCAAGCATTTTCTAATATAATCACATATGTTTTTGGGAGCATGGTATCCTTATTTCACTTTACAGATGAGAATATTGTGGTTTAGAGAAGGGGGCCACCTGCCCCAGGTCAAACAGTGAATGGGTGTCAGAAGTGGGATTTGAACTCAGTCTGTTTGGCGACATGGGCTCAATTCAGCCCATGGAGAAGGGGTCATAAGAGCCTCAGATGGAGAAGGGTAGAGTCAAGAGATCCATACCAGTGTGTCAGGGCCATGAAATGTTAAAATTGCATATTCATGGCCGTTAGCAATTATCAATTCAATCCCTTCTTCTTCCAAATGAGGAAACTGAGGCCCAGAGCAGGGAAGTGACTTGCTAAGGTGACACAGTAAGTCAGGGCATAGCTGGGACTTCTCACTCTTTGTTCAATGCTTCTTCCACCTCACAGCACCTCCTCTTAATGGGGGGAAGAGAGTGCTGTTATCTGAAAAGTGTACTCAGGGGGAAGTCCTCAATTACTGACAGGTGGGACTGAAGTCACAGGGCTCTCTTACTCAGATTCCTCCTCTTTGGTTTCCTTCAGGCTCTCGAGGAACGTCTCTTCAAGGATATCTAGCTGCTCCAAGGACACCTGGAGCAGGGAGGTCACGTGGCAAATGAGGACTCTGGCCCGGGCATCATAGCGCCCTTGAGAGAGAAACAACACAGGCAAAGAATTGGTTCAGGTTTTAAGCACAGAGATGTTCATAGCAGTGTAATTTATAAAGCCCAAATGCTGGAAATGTCCTAAATGCACAATCCCATGAGAAACAGTCAGTTAAAAAATAGTACAGATTACTGGATGGGTTACCACACAACCATTAAAAATGATGCTACTCAAAAGCAAGCTGATATTTTTCACCAATAAGCAAAGATCAGTTCTTTAAATCCCAAAGTTGTGAAGGAGGCAAAAAAAAAGAAAGGTGCTCAAAGATATCACTGTGGGGAGTGTGCACTGGTAAAAAGTTTCTGGAGGAGAATTTGACAATATGTATCAAAAACTTTAAAAGTGTGCTTACTTTTTGTGTCAGGTATTCCATATCCGGAATACCAAGCATACAAAAACAATTCTAAAGGTAGAAAATGTTTAGTACATAAAGGCACTATTGATGCATTTATAACATTGTGGTGTGATGGATCGCTTTCATATGGCATTTCTGCCTCATAGAAATCAGTCTTGGGGTGTTGATTTTGACAATGATTTTCTCTCCTCCCCGTTAAGTTAGAGGAGGTCAGACATCTCTGCCATGTCATTTTTACAGTTGATGTCAGGAGTGGGACTCGTAACAGCTCCAGACTCATGGAAGTATGGGACTTAGGAAGAGAAATAATGAAGAGATGTGGGAAGTGAAACTTATGATTCTTAGATGGTCATTTTGGTAGTTGACCTGTAATGGCTGAAAGGAAAGTAAGAGATGTTATGCTGCAGCTGAGGGGAGAAAAGCTGCATCTGGAGTAGCTTGGGACAAAAGCCAGGCCTGTTAAACAAGATGATTGATAGGTGGCCAGGGTCTTCTGGTTCTACCCAGCCAGAGGTCCAAGGTCATGTGCATATGAATGGGAAGACAGTCAAGGTGTGGAGAAGATGACACTGGAAGGTTTAAAAAGGGGTTATGTGTTTGAATGTACTATGGATAGTGAATGTTTCTCCTACCTAGTATTGTAAAACAGACCTAAATTTATGATGGAAATGACTATTGGGTATTACAGATTACACAGTGTAACTCTGCCTTCAGGCAATACTTGATTGGATATACTAAAAGGGGAACTACTAAGATATGCCCAAAAGAAACACAGGCTGGTGGTTTGAATGCAGTAGCCCTGTGTATAGAGTATTGGTGGCTTAGCTTAAAAACCTGAGCACCACCCGGAACCTTTAGAGTCAGTAAATTTGCATTTGAAAAGACATGCAGACCTACTCAGAACTGCTGGAAGAGCAGGAAATTTGCATTTGAAGGAAGGACGTGCAGGAAAAAAAAATAACTATTTTGCTTTTTAAATTTTGAGCAAGTAGTTTGCTGTTGGATACATCAAGGCAGGAAAGGTCCGTGCCTGTCAGAGGAACCTCCTTCCAGGACTGGAAGTTAAAGGGAGCCAGTGAGTAGACAGCCTGATATGCTCACTTGAGGTGACTACCTGGGTCCATGAGATGAGCTGAAGTGGGAACAGGAGTAGCAATAAAGAGATGGGATGAGTCTGGACATGTTCCATTGGCACCTATTGACCTAGCCCAAGGGGGCTATGGATGAGAAAGAGAGAAGGGGCTGGCCGGTTTGAAGTACAAGGAGTTGTGTGGACTCCTGAGCCTAGGAATAGTGGCCACTGACCTAGCCCACAGGGGCTAGGGATGACTGACCAGAACCTGACCAAATGGAGAGAAAGATGTTTGACACCATGAGCTGGTGTAGACTGCTACAATTTGATGGCTTGGTCTGGACTGGATTTTGCCTATGGATGCAGACACTCAGTTCCAACTGGAACAGAAGATATTCTTCAGATCAAGGAACATGCTTGTCTCCTCAGAGTACTGGTTTGATAGGGATGGGCAATTCAAGCACTGGCTACCTAAAACAGGGGCAATAAAGGCATGAAGTGGCTGGCTTACATGCTTTTGTGGGTGTGCTTATATTCAAAATGAGGGGGACAAGGGAGGATCCCCATGGAATAGTTTCCTCTTTTCCTGATGGGTCTGGGGAAGATGGTAGGGGAAGATGCGATATGATTATATGATTCAGTTGTGAGTGCTGATTGTTAACAGGGTTAATTGTGATTATAAAAAACTGTAATTGTAGAAGCTGTAACTGTGAAAGAATGGACTAAGGAGGCACTGCTGGACTGGAGTACAGTGGCTGAATCTTGAGAGAGGCTCAGAGCAAGGGAATAATCCTCTCTCAGTTAGAGGCCATAAAGGGTGGAGATCATATGACTTCTAGAGAACCTAACCATATCAGATGGAGACCTGAATGGTTGGTACCTGAGTGACCACACCCTGAGAACTCTTTGCCTACTGAAGGACTAATTGTTAATTGCTGTTTCAGACTGGTAAAATGATTGGGAGGGGGCAATTATCCTCCAAGTGTGAAAGAACCATGGCTAGAAAAGTCAGGGGGTGGCCTGCAGTGCCATGGTTCGCTTTTACATGGCCTTTGTCACGACAGTCTTGTAACTCCCACCAAATGATTGGATGGGACTATGCAAAGTGCTTGTGGCCCACCAAGGGGACTGGACAACTTGTTAACAATACAAATAAGGTACACAGCATGCTTGTAGGGGTGGGACCATGAAAATAAAGTGTATGGAACTCTAACAAGGGGATTGGTCAGTTTGCCATCCTGGGACCTCATTACCACCAAGAAGAAGAAATGGAAGCAGAGCACATCCTTTGGACCCAGGGTCTCTGTGCTGAGTACCTCCTAGACCCAGGAGACAGACAGAAAGAGAGCCGTAACACTGGAGACGGTGTAAGATGGTGAGAAGCAGCAGCAGAGAAACAGTGGCAGCAGAACCAGGAGACCGGCACAAGACAGCACAGTGGGCTTCCTGGCCCACAGAGTAAGGTGGTTACAGTGGGTGTGCTAACCCATGGAGCAAGAGAGCTGACTGCCTTTGGGCTGAGGTTTGCTGGTGGAGTAGGGTGCCCCCGGGTATTTATTGGCAGGGCCAAAAAGCTTGTAACACTTCCCTGAGCAGGGTAGAGGCCAGCGCAAGAGGTCTGAGGGGCCGAAGGGCAGAGGGGCCGAGGGTTGAAGGGCCAAGGGCTGAGGGGCCAAGGGCTAGAGAGAGGCCTGCCTGTAAGCATGGCTGAAAAGAGGCTGTCCTGATCGAAGAACTGTATCCTGAATCATCCCTGATCCTGAACTCTAACCTCTTACTTCCCTAATAAACTCCTTAACTGTAGGTATGGTCCATGAGTTCTATGTGGCCACTGCAACGAATTATTGAACCCAGCAGAGAAGTAGAGAGTGCTGTAGGAGGGACAGCTGGTGTCAGAATTGGTAAAAAGGTTGGAGAAAGGAGGCATGTCTGACCTTCACCCCTTAGGAATCAGGCTTGGGCTGTTGATGCTGACAATGATTCTCTCTCCCCCTGTGAAGTTAGAGGAGGTCAGATGCCTCAGCCATGCCATTTTTACAAACATGAAATTGGAGGTCTAATAATGGGATTAGTTAAGTGACATAAAGTATACCCATGCAGTGTGGAAAACTACAGAGCCATGAAAAACGATTCCCCCAAAAGCCTGTAATAATGGAAAAAATGCCTATGCAATAAAACAAAATCTCAAAGTACTGCATAGGAGAAAAAGGTGAAAGAAATATGTTAAATATTATTATTATTTTCGCCTTTTCAAAATTATCCATAATGATTCTGGGTTAATTTTATAATTGGAAAAATTAATCTATCAAAATTTAACCAAAAGTGGTCTGTCCAGGCTCTAATTTTATAGCCCAGAAGCTCATAAGAAAAGGTTAGGAAAACAGTTTGGCAGTTCCTCAAAGAGTTGAACATAGAACTACCATTAAAAAAAAAACAAACCAAACCCATTGCCATTCAGTCAATTCCAACTCCTAGTGACCCTACAGGACAGAGCAGAAATGTCCCACAGGGTTTCTAAGGAGCAACTGGTGGATTTGAACTGCTGACCTTTTGGTTAGTAGCCGAGCTCTTAACCACTGTGCCACCAGGGCTACCATATGACCCAGCAATCCCAATCCTAGGTATATACACAGAAGAAGTGAAAGCAGGAACGCAAACAGAAACCTGTATACCAATGTTCACTACAGCACTTTTCACAATAGCCAAAAGGTGGAAACAACTGAAATGTCCACCGCCAGACGAATGGATAAACAAAATGTGGTATATACACACAATGGAATATTACTCAGCCATAAAGAGAAATAAAGATATGATGCATGCTGTTGAAAACATTATGCTGAGCAAAATAAGTCAGTTGCAAAAGAACAAATACAGTACGATCTCACTTACATGAAATAAGCAAATACACAGAAACCAAAAATTATTAGTGGTTACTAGGTGTAGGAGGAAGGGGGAAAGGGGGGAGTTTTTGCTTAGGGGCATTGAGTTTATGTTAATGGTAGTGGAATAATTTGGAACGGGATAGTGAGAATGGTTGTACGATCTGAAGAATATAATCAATGTCACTGAATTATACATGTAGAAATTGTATGTTTTGTTGTGTATACTTTCACCACAATAAAAAAGAAAAGGTTAATATTTGGTTAGTAAGGAATAGGGGATCTGAAAGGGGGAAAATGAACCCTGTTGAGGGAATTTCTGTCTTCAGGCAGCACACAACAGATAGAATCCTATGCAGAATGCCCCTATTTTTCTAAGTCTTTGATTGCATTACCAGCCTGAGCTGTTAAACCCCACCCATCTGCACCATAAAAAGCACAGGGAGGCCAGACAATGAGCCTCTGTGTGGCATAAAGCACCCTTCTGTGCCTCCTCTTGGTGTGCCATCTCAGACCACACCACCACCCAGCCACCCAAGAGACTGGGAGATCCCACAATCTTTCCTCTCCCTCAACCCTCACATCCAACGTCACCGAGTCTGTTACATTCTACCCAGTACTGGTGGATTCGAACTGCCGACCTTTTGGTTAGCAGCCTAGCTCTTAACCACTGTG